TTTGAAAGAATATCTAAAGACAAGACACCCAATAAGAGTTTTTGTGCATACGGTTCTCGGGCGCCTATGTCACATTCACAAAGGACTCCGTCTTTATTAGCAAACTCAGAAGAAATGTTTAACAAAAGAAAAATTATTTCATCAAGACTAATAAATGTTTTAAAAAAGCAAATCACATCATTAACATATCAGTTTTAATTACAAAACTCAACGATACATAACAAATTTCTTCGAAATTTAAATTCTCATTAAAAAATTCTTTTGATACAAATTAAATAGCTACATATTCGATTTTCCCATTGATACGAACTTATTGTTTTCATTCAAGATTTACAAGAAATCAAATACTTATTTCACAACAACAAATATCTATTTTTACTCAAACACGAGCATGTATTTACTAATAAATTCATGTTTTTACATCATTACATTTGACAATACTATCAAAACAACCCCAAAATCAAACTAATTTTCGATATTCTTTATTCAGACCAGAGAATTCATATAAATCATCGATTACTCAAATTTAAGTATTCATTTAATGTAATAATTGTTAGATATTAGGCGTTTTATATAAAGATTCTCCCTATTTCAAATTTTCAAGCGAATTAAGTCGATATTTCATACATTTTATAATATACAAATCATGTGTAAGTACAATAGCTTTAATTATTTACAATATTGATCATTTTATTACGAAATCCAAAAATTTAATCAGCAAAATCGATGTTTTTATATAAGATTAGAATGATTTACATCATTGTTTCCATGCACTAGCTGTTAAAATGCTGATGACAGCTAAAAGAATCGCAATTTCATAACTTGAATATAAGATTCAAATGAATCGGCATTATTTGACATTTACATCATTGAAATGTCAAATAATGCCGATTCATTTTTTTGATGAAAACAATGAAATTCAATCACGATTTTCAGATAACAGTATCAAAACACACATCAACTATAAATAATTTACACTTTGATCAATTACCTAATAATGTTTGGGAACTATTTTACAATACATCAACTAATTTAAAACCAATTCAAGGTACAAACGTTCAAGCAACATCAACGAATAATGAGTGCTTCTTATATAACTGTATATTCATTGATATTACGACCAATAGTGCCATTTATTTTACGAATACAAGCAATAAATTTCTTAACTCAGATTGTTCATTTACTAACTGCAGCAGTAATACAAATGGTGGATCTATCTACTTTAACTGTAAAAGTTCCATTGTCCAATACCGAACATGTGGCTACAAATCAAAAACAAACTCCTGGGGACATCATTCATATGTTTACATAATTAGAAATTCAAATAATAAAAATTATCTTTATGAAAGTTCTTTTTATGAATGCGGAAATTTAGAAAAATATTATACAAATTATCTTTGTTATGGAAATATTGGAGTTAAATCAATCAACACAAGTTTCTGTAAAGCATACTGGGGATCAGGAATTCGTCTAGAAAACCCAACAAGTCTAAGTAATGTAACATATTCATCATTTTGTAACACAACATCAAATTATAGAATTTTACAATTAATATGGATTGAGTATAATTTTAATTTTTGTAATGTTTTGAATAATAAACTCATATATTCTAATTGTGGAACATTCTGGGCAGTTGAATCAACTGTTCTTATTGAAAACTGTTCATTTCTTGGAAACACAGGACCAGGAGTAGAATTTTATCAAGATCGTTCTGGTTCAATTACAGTTCAAGATTCTTTCTGTGACAGAATAGGTAAAACAACAGGATCAGTTAAAACAAATAATGTTCAAAATATATATTCTATTCATAATCTTTCTCACTTTTCATCATATCTGTGTGAAACAGAGTTTCCTATTATAGATAAAAAGCCTATGAGATCTGCTTTTGATTTATATCATCAATTTTCCTTTAGACGAAGGCGTTAATATTCATGATTTATGAATTTATATAATCAAAAAATTGTAATTAAAGACCATTATTAACGAAAGCATTCATCAATTGTTTAAGGCTCCGGTCCCACCCTCTCAATTTTAAAAGTTTTAATATCTCCACCAATATGAGTTTTTGATACTTTTATTTTAGTACATAATATCATTATGTAATACACTATAGTATAGTATATTTAAACTGAGTATTACTATTATAGTTCATCTTATCTGAGAATTCGGTATTTTGACAAATTTCAACTTTGACCGGTAAAACTATTTATAATCAAAAAAGCCCACGACATTTTATAGCATATTAGTGATACATTATATTGTTATTAGTAAACTTGATTTACAATCTCTTCTAGATGAGTAATTTGTTTTTTTGAAAAAATCTGACAAATCACTTTTTGACAGAATCTAGATATTTTTGATTTGTGAAAGTTTTAATAATATGATAAGGTTTATATATGCTATCATAATATAATAAAATCATATAATATTACATTATCGCTATATATGTCGAATATTAAAAAATTGTATATTAACATTTTTGTCATATCTTGATAATAAAGAAAAAACTCTCAGTTCCCCTTCGACAAATTGTTAGAATGCAACTAAAGTTTATTTTGATATAGTGAGTTTGCTTCTAAAAAATATATGAAAGAATAATTAGATTTGCAAGACCCCTATAAAAAACGATTTTTGCGTCGAGAATAACTTCATGCACGATTAATTGATATGATAATAAAAATCATATATGATAATTACTTAATATAGGCAACAATATTGTATTAATCACTTTTTGTCAAAACGGTTTTTCGATAATTGAGTATTCAATTTTCCAAAAATCCATTCAATAATTTGATTTATAATTCAACGTATAAGAAAAAACTCTCAGTTCCCCTTCGACAATTTGTAAAGAAAATTATATAGTTTCTGTCGACACTATTTGTATATTCTACCTTCTTCGGTATTTCGAAGAATTAGGTTTGCAAATTTGATATTTTTGATGTATTTTTTCAAATTGAGAGTATTTTTGACGATAGAAGTAGGTGTTTTTTGAATTACAATTTTATATTGATGTGCATGATAAAAATTTGAACTTATATTATGGTGACATAGTATAAGTCATAATGTATTAATATACAAAAGATATTATCAAAAAATTCCTTTCCAATATGTATAAACAAATCGATTTTTTAAATTAAATTTAAACCTTAAACTCAATATATTAAAAAGTGACATTATTTTAATTAGAAGTACAAAAATCCATAGTCATAGAATTATCAAATGATTGAAAATTGTTATAATTGGGCACATTATACTCATTTATGAATTTACTATACTATATACTTTGCAAATTTAAAAATCCAAATTTTCAATTTTTAAAATATCATTATTTATCATATATCAAATAGTAAAGTTAGTATATATCATGTTTAAAACGATAATATAGTCAAATTCGAAAATTTTAAAAATAGATAATATTTAATTTTTACAAAATATTGGTATATGTGCAATCTATTGGTATATTTTTACTCCTTATTAGACACTCGTCCTAACTATATGCAGTAATCATGCAGGACCGGAGCCTTAAATATGGAAATATTGAAGTTAAATCAATCAACACAAGTTTCTGTGAAGCAGACTATGACTCAGGAATACTTCTAAATCAACCAACAAGTCTAAGTAACGTAACATATTCATCATTTTGTAACACAACATCAAATTATAATATTTTTGAATTAAATTGGGGTAACTATAATTTTAATTTTTGTAATGTTTTGAATAATGAACACAAAAAATCTGATTATGGAACATTCTGTGCATTTGGATCAACTGTTCTTATTGAAAACTGTTCATTTCTTGGAAACACAGGACCAGGAGTAGAATTTTATCAAGATTATTCTGGTTCAATTACAGTTCAAGATTCTTTCTGTGACAGAATAATAGATAAAACATATCAATCAGTTATAACAAATAATGTTCAAAATATATATTCTATTCATAATCTTTCTCACTTTTCATCATATCTGTGTGAAACAGAGTTTCCTATTATAGATAAAAAGCCTATGAGATCTGCTTTTGATTTATATCATCAATTTTCCTTTAGACGAAGGCGTTAATATTCATGATTTATGAATTTATATAATCAAAAAATTGTAATTAAAGACCATTATTAACGAAAGCATTCATCAATTGTTTAATATCAATTGAAATATGAAAAACTTTATATTCAAAAGATGATGCGGCTTGATTTCTCAATTTAATTTTCAAAGAGTTCGTATTTGTTACAGTGAATTTAAATAATTAGTACTGATATAGTAATGCAATAATATCGGGAACATGGCTCTTAATTTCGAAATAGGTTTTCTTTGTAAGGCATCTAAGTATTAACAAACTGATATTTCAATAAAGAGTTCAATATTATAATAGAAATTTGCTATGACAGAAAGAATAAAACTATAGCAAAAAGAATTATTGTTATTTCGATGATATTTTGTAATATTCTTCGTTTACAAATGATTGGACATTGTATCTTGGGGAGATGTTGGATAATAAATTTAACGATTTCTTATTCAATTCTATTATATCATTGCTATCTTGAAGTGGAAAATTTTTCTTAAGAGTGCACTTACACCTGTATTACATGTCCTTCGATTCAGATGTTTAAGGTTAATTTTCAATGACACTTCACGCCATTTGTCAGAAATTTGAATTAAAGTCAGATACGCGTAAGTGCACCCTTAAGAACATTTGTCATTACAAGTATAAGTAAAGACACTCAAGATGCATTTTTGTCATTCAATAATCTATTCTCTCGCTATTGCAAACAATTTCAAATGTCGCATTCAATTTCTGTGTAATACAATATCATTCACTAGGATCAGTTTATTCATAACTTTACTCACTTTTCAACATATTTCTGTAAAGCAGGATAAATATGCTTCCAATACGTAACATCATTTATCATTTTCCTTTAGACAAGTGCGTTAATTTTTCAAGGATTTATTATTATCGTTTTTTATTATTAAAAATAATTTTTTTACAAACAAAAAAAATAAAAAAACTCATTTATTTAAAAGAAGATTAATGATATCTTCGTTCTTTGTCTGGAGTGCGACATCTTTAGCTGTGTGTCCTTCGCTGTCAACAACACTCAAATCGAGGTCTTCACGAGAAAGGAGAACTTTGACAACTTCGATTTTTTCGTTTTCAATAGCGTTGAAAATAGGAGTTCGCTTCATCAAGTTCTGACGGTTGACATCGACATTTTCGTGTTGAAGCAACTCTTCGACGAAACTAGTTGAGCCGCATTTAGCGGCAACATGGAGAGGTGTCCACTGGATTGAGTCGACGCAGTTCAAGTCAACGTCATCTCGATCGGCGAAAAGACGGATTAAGTCTGAGAAATCATTAGATGCAGCGATGTGAAGAGGTGTGAAACTAGAATCATCAGGAAGTTGTGGATTGACATCTTTGTCGTTCAGAAGACACTCAACGCACTGTTTGTGGTGGAGAAGAACTGCGTAATGAAGAGCACTGCGATTCTTCTTGTCGACGATGTTCTTCTCGATGCCTGGAAAACTCAAGAGAAGTTCTAAAGCTTCGAAATGTCCGTCACGAGCTGCCCGGATCAATGCTGTACGTGATGAGTTGTTAGTGGCATTGACATCAATGGATGGATCAGAAAGAAGAAGTCGCAGAACACGTGTGTGACCATTAATTGCACCACGATGAAGAGCGGTCCATCCTTTGTCATCTTTGTTGTTGATCAGAACATCACCGCTTTTCTGGAGGATGGAAACAACTTCCGCGTTTCCTGCTTCAGCGGCATACATAAGTGGTGTCCATCCCATCGAATCAACAACACCTGGAATGGCTCCATGAGAAAGAAGGTAGTCGAGGACACAAACGTTGTCTGATAGGGCCGCCGCGCATAACATTGGTGTAGCTTCGACTTTGAAGTCTTCCTGGCTGATGTTGTTGAAGTAAAGAGTGTAGAACCAATGGAAAATCTCAAAGTGATGGTACTGAATCGCGACTGATATCAGATGTTTCGGTGGTTGGTTGTTTGGAACGATGCTACGTATGATTTCGATATTGCCACCTGCAATGGCATATGTAAGAACATCCCAGCCGTTGTCTGATTTGAGTTTTAGATCGGCACCGTTCATTACCATGAATTTGAAGCATTTTACGCAGCCATAAAATGCGGCAATAGAAATAAGTGGAGGATGTGTGTTCAGTTCATCAACTGATTCAAGAATTGTAGGGTTAATTCGGAAGTTTGGATCAAATTTGCCTGATTCGGCAATCTCTTGAAGGCATTGAAGGTTATCACGATGGAGAGCCATAATAATAGAACCGTTTTGGAATGGGTCCATCTTGAAAAAACTAAATTCTTGTTGTCGAATAATAAGGAATTCCCTGTAGAATTGGCTCTCGCCAGTAGTAGAGTTAGTACACAGCGGATCGTTTGCGATCTTGTTTTCAAGCTTTTCGTATTCTTGTGGGAGTCGATCTTTCAATAAATGTCCAAATATAGAAAGGAAGCAAATAATGAACAATGTGTTCATACTTTCGCCACTGTACCAGTTTCTTGATTTTTTGTATGTTGTGAAAAACAGCTTTTCAAGCATGTGAAGTAAAACATCCAAAGAAATAATATTTTGCTCTACAACTTCACGAAGGAATAAGTAGGATGAAATGAATGACTTTTGGAAAGGATATCGTTGAAGGATTTCTTTTGAAAGCAAGAAAATAAAAATTTTAGGAATATTTTTCATTTTCTCGTTATTTTTAGCTTCTTCGTACAGGAGTCCGATAATCCTAACAGCAGGGATTGGGAATCTCCTACGGTATTTGTAGGAAAGCAGTAAATTGTGTAAAATAATGTGTTGGCCTTCTTCAGAGTTAATGAAAGATGTGTTCATGATCTTTTCGAATACTTCTTGATAATTATCTTTTGTCATTGTGATCAGCCATTGCTGAAGTTTAATTATCTCTGCATTCGAAAATTCCATTTTTGTCACTTTTTTATAAATCATTAGAATCGAATGAAATGACATCATTTTGGTTCTTGTAATCAGTACGATAGTATAAAATCCTTATATTGGGGATCTGGAACCTTTATCGCTATGTATTACTTCTCTATTTTTTAGTAATGAAATTTCCAAAATCTTCAAAATCTAACAACCTTAGATTAAAAATATTTGGCATAGGCTCTGTCATTGAATTATTTTGGCGATATCTGGAATTTCATACTTTAGTCAAAAAAAAATAAAATTATTGGAAATAAAGTTAAATAAACTATTGTTGAAAAGTCTAAAATAACTTAAATAGTATTATTTAAGCGTGTGCAAAAGATGTGAAAGTATATTGAATTCTTCATGGAACTTCCATATTTTGACCAGTTAATGTTTGAAACCAATATGCTATCATATGGAATGGAGAAAACTATAGTTAAATTTAGTAATACTGCTTTTGATATTTTTTGAAATTTATTTTTAAATTATTGAATGATTTTGACTTTAAATGTATCAGTTCATAGAAAAGAAAAACGTTTTGAACATAAATTTCATTTAATTACAAAAAAAATTAGAATAAAAATTAATATTTCTTGTTATAAAAGCCTAAATCTGAGGTTTTTGCAGTTTTTTCAGCTTCTAATAAGTGTTTGACTAAATCTCCATATAAAGGATGATCAGTATCAGGAATATCTCGGCCAGGTTTTGCAGCACCGTCTCTGATCATTAAATACTGCAAAGACATTGTATCCAGTGTCTCTCCAACAGTTAAAATGACCTCAGGAGCCGAAGCAGTGCCTACAACGTGAGCTTGTAACGCTTGTTTGCTTCCTATTGTGTTGTGGAGGTATCTAACGACCATATCTTGGTTGGTATCGAACAATGATAGGAAGGCAAGCTTCATTGTCATACCAATTGCTTGAATTCCGGCTAATTGGTCGGTAATTCTGCGTAATTCTTCAATTAAGCCATGTACAACAAATCCGTAGTCGATAAGATGCAATGTTACTGCATGGCCTTCGACTTTTTTGACTAAAGCTCTGTATGCGAAATTATTTCTAACAAAAAGAACCAAATTTCCTTGTTTTGGATTGGGCATTAAATCCAGGGACTCGAATCTGATGGAGTTCATCGAGTTTGGCTTAGTTTGAACAGCAATTGTGAGCGGATCAATAACTTTTGTTACATAAACGGAAACAAGGGCCGGGGGCTGTGGTGGAATAGGGAATAATCTCTTTGCACGTGACCAATCACCTATTTTTGCATCTTGGGCTTGTTTTTGGTACTGTTTTAAGTTATCATCTTTTAATAATCTGACGTAACCATTCTTTAAGAGATCAATTCTTATGTCGGCATTATTCTCACCCATTCCGAAGTAACCACTGACCGTTCCATTGGATATATCCGTTCCTCCGATAACAAATGTGATTTCCCTGTTCAAATAATTAGTTCTGAGGTAATCAACGGCGACTTCTGTTATATATTCTTCAGGAGAAAAGGCTTCAATGTCCTTTAATGAGAACTGAATTCGATAATTCGGATCCAAAACGTCAATTAAAAACGACATAGGCGAATAAACGGCGCTAATAATTCCTTGTTTTTTCTTTTCACCGGTTGTTCTAGCAAATTCCGATAATTGCATTTCACTTGGTACGATATACGAAATCGCTCTTTTTTGTTGAGGCTGAGGAGCCTTCCCAGCAGCTGCTTCTATTGCTTTCATGCCTTTAGGTGGTTTAATGACACCGCTAGAGCAAATCGTTGCTAAGCCGTTCTTAACCATGTATTCTTGAATCATTACTTCAGCATTTGCTGACTGTCTGACGTGTACGGTACCGTAATTTATGTCCCCGAATGTATCGTTGACCTCAACTCTGACTGTTTTACCTACTTGTTCCCTTAAATATTCGTAAGCTTCGTATCCACCGGGTTCTGATGTGATATTGACTCCGAAAGCTGGAACAAGGATCGCGTTGAGTGTAATTATGACTTCATGCTGTTGGTCTTTTGGACGGATGGACAGTTTTGAAGTAGATATGATTTCAATTATTGTTCCTTCGAATTCTGGAGGAAGCGGAGGGTCCTGGAGAGGAAGGTATGTTTGCCAAAGACCGAGTTTGCGATTGATGGCTCGTTTCTCGAAGACTTCGAGATTATTTGAATCAGATCTGTAAAAACAAGTAACTTCGTTAAGCATTGCGTAGCCCTTTTGAAGTAGTATCGATGCGAAATCAAGTCCGTTGACAGTAATGACGCCCATAAGCATTTTCTTTTTATTGATTTGTAGAACACGAACTCTGAGATGTTCTGAGAGTAGTAGATCGGCAATAAATCTGTTAACTTCGTTTCTGAACTCAGGTGGCATCGGCGGCATGAATATTCCGCAAATTTCGAGTTCAACAATGGCTGTTTCTTCTGGTAAATATAGTGTTGCAGTACAATTATTATCGAAGTCTGTTAAAAATGCAGTAAATTCCGTTTTCTGATAAATTTGTTCGATATTTGGCGGGCCGCACTCCAATTTCTTTGATGTAGACCAAATTCCAAGGTTTTTGCTTTTCGCTTGGGATTCTAATGGCTTCAGACGCTCCGGATCGAAGTCATTAATACGTTTTGCGCAGCCAGTTACGATTAACCTTTCGCAAACATCTTTTCCATCATGGACAGTGCGGACTTCTGTTGTAATTACTTCTACTTCGCCTATTAATGGGACTTTAATAAGTTCAGATGATCTCGAAATTTCAGGAACTCGTAAAAGAACTGTTTTTGTCTTTAAAATGCTACGAAGTGCTTTCCATGCTTCAATTCCGTATGGTTCATCAACACCAGATGAAGTGAAAAATGATAAATTTGGTGCTTGGCAACCAGCGATTTTAATTACTTTATTTCCTGTTTCGAAACCTGTGTATTTTACACAGATTGTGTCTCCTGAGAGAACTGCAATGACTGATGCTCGTCGCCATTCGTAAATAGGTCCCTCTGAGTCAGTCATTTTTCTATTTCAGATAATTTTTTTTTCTCCCGCTTGTGACAAATTTGCTAATCATTGTCAAAATAAAGAGTATGCAGCTATGTAAAATCCTATCCTTTATCATCTATGGAAAACCCTTATCAAAATTGATTTTGTTGCTTCAATCGATAATCACCACAAATATCAAGCATTGCAATTTGAAGCGTATGACCTACAATTATAATATGGAGCAATCACATTGTTCTTTAACATTGTTCGTGGATGCATGATGCTCATTAATGAAACTCTTGCTGAGATCAGTGCAAATAATGAGATGATTGTAGATATTAATATACAGTTCAGTCTAGACAGATTTTGGTCAACAAAACCAAATTGAAATTTTTGGAAAAGCCAAATTCATAATGATTTGTTAATAAATATTTATATTTTTGCTATTTGAAGTACGTTCGCCTTAAGATCATCAAATAAATATTTCATATTTTTTAGTTTCCTCTGAGGTATCCTTACCTCTTTGAATACACAGGTGCAAAACAAGATGTTATCCTAAATCCATCTAATTATCTCATCCGCGTATGGGGTGCCCAAGGAGGATACATCTATAATCAGAGCTCTGGCCTTGGTGCATACACAGAAGCAGTTTTCAGCATCCAACGCCAAACCACTCTAAATATTTATGTTGGAAGCCAAGGGAAATGCGGTAATAGTAAGCTTTCCTCAAATTTTTATAAAGCTGGTATTAATTCGATTGGTTCTGACGGAAATATTTCTTGCACTGGTGGTGGGTCGACGTTTGTCAGTGTAAATAACAATATTTCTGATATTATTATCGCCTCTGGCTCGGGTGGTGGATCAGGAGCCTGTAAAAAAGAATTTTCCGGCGGTTATGGGGGATATAACGGAGAAAAAGCAGGCGGTACTCAAATTCAAGGGGGTTCTGGAAGTCATTATGAAAAATTTGGTGTATCGTGTGATTCTTTGCCCGGAAAAAAGTTGGAAGGTGGAAATGCTATAAGTTGCTGGGCCGCCTCGTCAGGAGGCGGTGGGGGGTGGTTACTATGGCGGTGGTGGAGGCGTGGACCTCCAAGGTGGTGGTGGTGGAAGTAGCTTCGTAAGAGGAGACCTATCATCAGCCACTTTTTATAATGGAAGTGAAACCTTCCAGTCCCCCTATGGCGTTCCTGAAAGAGGCCATTCTGGCAACGGATTTATAATCATACAACCAATGCTCGTTTGTTCTTTCAACAACAAAGTATACTTTAGCGTTGACTTTTCACCATTTTTAATTTTCATTTTGTTTAATCCTAAATAAAACACTACATAATCTCAGTAACTACAAGGAAAAATACAAATTTTTCGATGATATTAATAAAATTGACTGAATTATTAGAAATTCTAATTTATAGACTGATTCTATGTCACAAAATTATAACTGTTCAATATCAATAAGATCTTTTATAGCAAGAAAAGCATTATTTTTATAGTATCACATTCAATCTATATTTCAAACCCATGAATCTTACATTTACAATAAAAAAACTCTAATGAATACGCATTCCTAAAGTTCTCACTTCAAAAACATCTAACTTATACTAGCCAAAAACGAATTCGAAATTTTTCATTGAATTGAAAATATAAATTAAGAACTCATTGACAACATGCAATTATGTTTGAGCTATAAAAAATCAACTTCATAAGCATAATGAGACGTTGATAAGCTTTCAAAAAAAGTTATAAAAATTTGAAGTTAAATTATAAAATCATTCAGAAAGTTTTAAAAAGATTTACTGGCAACGCTTAAGGATTTCCTGAGAAACGTCGAGGAGTTCCTGGGAAACGTGGCCGATTGTGTTCTTAAGGTAGTCATCGTTAGCAGCGACCTGGGCCTTGATCTTCTCCTTATCCTGGTGCATGAGCTCCTGGAACTGCTCCTTTGTGAAGTTGAGGCCATCCCAATCGATATCCTCGTACTCTGGGACGTAGCCGAGTGGAGAAAGGTGTGTTGGGGCCTTGCCGTAGAGTCTGTTGACCATCCAGCCGAGAACACGAGCGTTCTGACCGTAGCCTGGCCAAAGGAACTTGCCAGCTGGGGACTTACGGAACCAGTTGACGTGGAAGACAATTGGTGTCTTGGCGAGCTTGGCCATCTCAAGGTAGTGCTTGAAGTAGTCACCCATATGGTAGCCGCAGAATGGAAGCATAGCGAATGGATCGCGGCGGAGAGCACCGAGCTTACCATCGGCAGCAGCGGCTGTCTGTTCGGAACCAACTGTAGCACCAAGGTAAACACCGTGAGCCCATGATGTAGCCTGGAAGACGAGTGGGATATCGTTCATGCGGCGGCCACCATAGACGAAGATGGAGACTGGAACACCGGCTGGGTTCTCCCAATCTGGATCAATGCATGGGCAGTTAGCAGCTGGAGCAGCGAAGCGGGAGTTTGGATGTGATGAGACACGGCCGCAATCTGGTGTCCAGTCCTTGTTCTGCCAGTCGATAAGGTGCTTTGGCTTCTCCTCTGTCATGCCCTCCCACCAGACATCGCCGTCATCTGTAAGAGCGACGTTTGTGAAGATTGTGTTACGAGCGCAGGAGAGAAGAGCGTTTGGATTTGTTGTCATAGCTGTGCCTGGGGCAACACCGAAGAAACCGTTTTCTGGGTTGATGGCGCGAAGTTCACCATCCTTGTTTGGCTTGATCCAAGCGATATCATCACCGACTGTTGTGACTTCCCAGCCCTTCTTGCGGAGTTCCTCTGGTGGGATCAACATGGCGAAGTTTGTCTTGCCGCAAGCTGATGGGAATGCAGCTGTGACGAATGTCTTCTTGCCTTCTGGGTTCTTGACGCCAAGAATAAGCATGTGCTCAGCGAGCCAGCCTTCCTTGCGGGCGAGGTTGGAGCCGATACGGAGAGCGAAGCACTTCTTGCCGAGAAGAGCGTTGCCACCATAGCCAGAGCCATAAGACCAGATAGCCTGTTCCTCTGGGTAGTGTGTGATGTATGTGTTCTCTGGGTCGCATGGCCAAGCAACATCCTGGCGGCCATCCTTAAGTGGGTAACCAACAGAGTGGACGCATGGGATGAAGTCGCCGTTCTCACCGATGCATTCGAGAACCTTTGTGGAAACACGTGTCATGATTCTCATTGAGACAACGACGTATGGAGAGTCGGAAATCTCGACACCGTTCTTACCGATGGAGGATCCGATTGGGCCCATTGAGAATGGGATGACGTACATTGTACGGCCTTCCATGCAGCCGTTGTAGAGACCACGGAGCTTCTTCTTCATGACTTCTGGATCTTCCCAGTGGTTTGTTGGTCCTGCGTCCTCTTTGTTCTTGGAGCAGATGAATGTACGGGACTCAACACGAGCGACATCGCGTGGGTCGGAGTGGTAAAGGTAGCAGCCTGGGCGCTTCTCCTGGTTAAGCTTGATGGCCATCTTGGAGTCAACCATTTGCTTGAAAAGCATATCAGCTTGTTCCTGGGAACCATCAATCCACATAACATCCTTTGGCTTGCAAAGGGCGACGAACTCGTCGACGAATGCCTGAACTTTCTTGCTCTTGTTAAATGCCTGAGCCATAACAAATAAAAATGAAGAGAAAATTAAACGATTCTCAATTTCTTTCAATTAAGAACCAATGAGTGGTCGATCGTTTTTCTCAAAAATTGAATGTGTATCGTCAATAATTTTTTCTGTCAATAAGTGGTCGGAGGAATTGTTTTTCTGAATGAGGAGAAAACGTAATGGGACACATTTCTCAATGTGCGTTTTATGTTTTTATAAGTTATCTATGAATCAAAATGTCATTCTATTCATATTGAGGATTCATCAATTTCGAAAACATGTTAGAACACATATATTTCTATTAGTAATATCTATGTTTTATGATTTTAAAGAATATTTACTGAGTATTTTTTCTTTAACGATGGTTTTCTCGATAATTTCAAAAATAATCATGTTTACAAAGTCACGTTGAGATATATTACTATAATGTTTGTATTTGCCATCAATAATTTTGTACATTTGATACCTTTAAACTGCGATCAATGTTAGTTTTATGCTTGAATATGAATGTTTTGTTTTGAACGCTCCAAACGCTTTCATCCTACTAGAATATCTTGTATAATTGTTTGAAATTGAGCGTACGTCTGCTCATGACGTAAAGGAATTCAATATTTTAATTTATCGTATATTAGATTTCACAAATCAAATCGGTACTACTCGATGCGAGCTTACACTCTTATTAGAGATTACGTATATAAGTAGTAATGGCATAATCTCTTATTCTGATTGAACCCTCACGTGATTTCACGCCCGTAACGTCAAATGTTGTTTTCGTATTTCTCTTTAGGAAGTTGTAAGTCATTGCTTGATTTGCAAGAGCCATTTAGACTTGATGAAAACAGTACAATAAATACATGGAGTTTTTTCGGTAATACTCAAATTTATTCCGATCAAATTGTTTTATTACCACCAATTAGAAGATCAAAGGGCTCAATGTGGTCAAAAGCAATTCTTCCAGACGATTCTTGGTCTATTAGAGTCGATTTAACAGTCATACAACCACATGAAGAGTTAAGTTTCGCTTTATTTTATACTAGTGATGCCGCATCAGATACGTCTTTCAATGGAGGTCCTTCTGCATTCAAAGGATTAGCTATTATCGGAGAGTTTATTAGAATTAATGAAACAACAAAGAAATTTACTTTGAATTCACTTCAATCTGATGGATCAATCGATTTAAGAACTGTCGCATTACCTAATCCAGATCTTACTTTTGATGTTGAAGATGATTTTACCTTCGGATTAATTTTCGGAATTTCGAATAATCAAATTTACACTGCTGTTGATCCAGGAGATGGTCAACTTATTCGAGGATCTAGACAAAAGGCAGAATTTGACTATAGTGAATTCTATTTAGGCCTTACCGCTCAAAATAAAGCTTATGAATCAGGATTATTACTTTCAAAGCTTCAACTCTCAATGGAAGGCGATATTTCAGATAAAAGTCATGATATGGATAACTTCTACCAGCCAGAAACCCATACAAATACTAATGATTCGTATTATGATACACTTCATTACAAACACAACGCTTTTAAAGAGATGGAGAAGCAGTATACACTTGGCAGAGCAGCCTCATATAACGTACAACACGGAGGACTCTATAATTCCACGTCTTACAGTACAGTTTTAGATTTAATTGACGAAGCATTCAAAGCAACAGAAAGTATGGCCACTTTTAAGAATATTAACGAGTATATAAAGACAGATTTAGCGAAATACGTTCAAGATTGGCAAGGAGTCATGACTGAGGCTTGTAGATCAATGGGCGAGGTTAATAAGTCAATATATGATAACTATGTAAGTGCTAATGACATGCTTGGCTATTTTAATCAATCTGTCAATCAAGTTTTCAAATCTATTTTCAAATCTAGTCGTAATTTTACAAATGAGCTTATTAATCTCAGTAAAGTGGAGATTAAATTTGATTTGCCTAAGAAAACATCAATTTTGTCTTATATTTTCATTTTTATTTGTGTTATTGAATTATTTGTTACTTTCTTTTTATTTACACACATGGATGAGATAACTAAAGCAGTTCATCTTCCTGGAGCATTCCTATAACTTTGTTTTTTGTTTATTGTTAATAAATAAAATCGAATTTTTTGTTTTTATTAAATTCATAGCTAATTTTTCCATTTTTAGATCGTAATGATCTAAAAAGACTATATGAAAGAAGAAATTTCTATATCATGTGTTATGAGAAAAATAAAAATTCTGAAGCTAATTTTGGGGCATACGATTATTTTTTCGAGAGTTAAAAATTGAAAATTTAGGTTATATTTCATGTGTATATGATTTTAATTTTTTGACGATAAATTTATCGTACGCCCCAAAATTTTTGCGATTCACCTTTGAAATCAGAATTGCGAATTTAAGGGTGCCGGATAATGTGGTGACGCGATTTCGAGTATTGCTCATAACTTCATTTGTAGTAAAGATATTAATGATATTGAAACATATATTAGTAGGGGATATACTAAGGTTTTTATTTCTATGTGATTGAAGTCTTGGATACTTCCAGTCCTCAGAAAACTGCTTCTCAATTTTCGTACTTGCTGACCTATCTAGTCCCTGGTTTTTCCATAGTATAGGCTGATACTGCAGGAATGATATCTAGGTGCTGCAATATGGAGAAAAAGTAATTTAAAAAAAAAAAAATTATACAAATTAATCAAAATAAAAATGATTTTATTGGCTTGAAAAGTGATGCTTTTATAATAGCTTTCATTTCACTTTCCGGCACCCTTAATTTCGTAATTTGAATAAATATCAAAATTATTTTTGTTGTTTTTCAATTAACTACTCGATGTATTCATTCATAAGTACTTTCATGCATGTACATACTGTTGCTGATGTGATTTAAACTAATTTTTGATATTATTCAAATGCTTATGGTAATTGCCGTCTTTTTTCTAATTGTTGAGTAATAAATAATGATTCTTGTCACTTTTCTTGACGCTTCTGATTTGTAATTAACTTGGCGGAAAGTGATTGACCACCAAAAACAACAACAGGTGTAAGACTACACTTTTGAACAGCCATGATACGACTCATTAAGTATGGTAATATCTTTTTTCCCGTTTACATTCCTTTCTGGAAGAGAATATCGTCGTTCTATTTATAATTGATGAGTAATAAGTAATAATTCACGTCGCTCTTCTTGAAGCTTCTAATTTGTCATGAACTTGGCTGCTTGACAATCAAAAACAATAACAGGGGTGAGGCCAAATTTTTAAACAGTCATGATACGACTCATTAAAAATTTTGACAAGGGAAGTAGTTTTCTGAAGTTTACAATTCATTTTAGGAAGAGAAAGTATTTGATCTTTCTCAAGCTGCTGGTGATGTTTGGGAACTTTTTTATGGAACATCAACTTCTCCAAAACCAATCACTGGGAAGAATGTTCGAGCGACATCAACAGAAAACGAGTGTTTCATTTTTAACAGTATATTCATTGAAATTACGACAAATAGTGCCATTTATTTTACGAAAACAAACAATAAATTTCTTAACTCAGATTGTTCATTTACTAACTGCAGTAGTATTGCAAATGGTGGATCTATATACTTTTCCTGTGATAGTTCCATTGTCCAATACCGAACATGTGGCTACAAATCAAAAACAAACTCTCAAGGACATCATTCATATGTTGAATTAGTTTCTAAATCAAATAATAAAAATTATCTTTATGAAAGTTCTTTTTATGAATGCGGAAATTTAGAAAAATCTTATACAAATCATCTTTGTTATGGAAATATTGAAGTTAAATCAATTAACACAAGTTTCTGTGAAGCAAAATATGACTCAGGAATACTTCTAACTATTCCAACAAGTCTAAGTAACGTAACATATTCATCATTTTGTAACACAACATCAAATTATTTAATTTTAGAATTAGATAATGGTAACTATAATTTTAATTTTTGTAATGTTTTGAATAATGAACACAAAGAATCTGATTATGGAACATTCTATGGAGGTGGATCAACTGTTCTTATTGAAAACTGTTCATTTCTTGGAAACACAGGACCAGGAAAAGAATTTTATCAAGATTATTCTGGTTCAATTACAGTTAAAGATTCTTTCTGTGACAGAATAACAGATAAAACATTTCAATTAGTTACAACAAATAATGTTGAAAATATATATTCTATTCATCATCTTTCACACTTTTCATCATATCTGTGTGAAGCAGAGTTTCCTATTTTAGATTTAGTGATAAAGAAGAATATTATCACAAAATATGAAATTGTTTATCATTATTCATATCATTTCATTACTTCTCTTTGTATTGTTTTAGTAATGAAATAAAATCTATTGTTCTTCCTATATCTCGATTTTTTGGTGCTGGTTTCAAGTAGAAACAGTTTGTTAGTTAGAATTATTTATTATTTTTTAAATTTATTCTTAGTACTTTAAGACAGAGACACAGCCGAACTCGCGAATTTACAAGATGGGCGGAACTTCTTCAAGAGAAATTGGATAGAACAAGTTGAGAATACTGATGGTTCGCTTTACCTCCTGTGTAGCTTCATAGGTGAGTGAATTGCGAATATTCTCATGTTCGTATGCAATTGTGGTATCAGAGAGTAAAGTGAGGCAGTATATAGAAAGAACTGGAAGTTCGTAAAACATTTCGAGCATTTCGATATTGCAATGGTATGAGAAGATGTTCTTCTCTTCACCAAATCGGACATGTGTCCATCGGTGGATTGTTGTTAGAGCAGAATAGACGCGGTACTTGTGTTCTATAATGATACGGAGGATGAGACGAAGATCTGATGTTGGGGAGCGGCGGCCGTTGTCGATAACAAGTGGAGCAGCGTAAATTGTAGTAACATGTGAAAGCTTGCGATGATTAAGACCTTCGCAAACCCACTTCAAACCATAAACCTTGCGCTCGAAGATGGCTTCGTTAAGCATTGGAATTGTATCGACTCCTATAAGCTTGTTATTATGCGAGATGGCATTCTGTATTATAAATAAAAACGCTGGTGCATTTTTGCAATATGTTCTAACATGATTATTAAAAAGATATTGAATACATTATTATCTGAAAACTCAAAATTAGAAGGAAATATGCAATTTATGAGCTCTGAAATCCATTTAAAGATATTAGAGCAAACATTAAATATTGTATCAGTAACAATGATTTCAAGAGAAAAATCCTTCAAAATTTAGCAAGGATTATAACAATTATCTTCGCTTGTAGAGTAGATTTCACCATTAAAGTTTGCTGTTTCAACTGCTTTCTTAACTTCTTCTGCCGAGTATATGTGTGAGAAATGTTGAATAATTTGTTCTTCTGGAGTTCCGCGATCTGAATTGTTCTCTTTGAGGAATTCAATGACATCGTTCTTAATCTTTTCATCTCTGTCTTCGCTTGATCTCATTGGAGGAGGTGCTGTTTCAATATGCTTTGGTGCTTGAGCGAAAGAGGAGTCTGGAGGTGTTCCTCTTGTTGTCTGTAAGTGTGTGAACAAAGCGTAAAGCATATGATAAGGAATTTGATCGAATTCAGTTATGGGTTTGATTGTGAATGAAGATATTCCATCTTCAATAGCAGTTGTAATTCTTCCAACAACAAAAACGTATGTTCCATCAGGAATTGGCTCCGGGTTATCATCAGAAATGAAATTCTTAACTTTGATACTGCCTGTACAATCATTATAGCGTTGTTTATTATTCAGAACGATAGATGTAAATATGTATATGCGACTTATGATATGTCAAATGATCACAATTACTTTGATTTTTTGTATAATTTAAAGAATGGACATCCACTCAAAAATTAGGAATAAATTTCTATGTTTTTAATTGTTTTATACTTAGTTTTTCATAATAACTGAACCATTTGTTAAATTATTTAAAAATCTGGAAATTACGATATAATAAAAACAATTTATTCTTTAAGTTTAAGCCAGTGCTTATAAAATACAAGGAAATTGATATCAGGAACTGTCAATCCATAGCACCAGCAAGCAAACAACATAAAACCTAACAAAGAAAGAGAAATAAAAAGAGAAAACAAGAAAGAGCGAATCTTTGGTGGAATATACATTTCAGTGATGCAAACACAGATCATCATTGAAAAAATAAGTGGAATCGAGTAATGATACAAAAAAGTATCACGTCTAATGAGAATAAATGGTAAATATGAGAATAAATATCCATAAACAAAAAGAGATAATGATGAATTACGATCATTTGTCAGAAATACCGAAATAATTGCAAATAAAGTGAATCCAAACAAGATTGGCCACAAGAAAGGATTACCAGCGCATGCAATATAATGTTTCTGATCATCAGATATCCAGTAAAGTAACCAATTTGATGAAACAAGAGGCCATGAGTACCATTTTGAAGCGTAAGGGTGTCCTTTCTTTGTTTCAAGGTTCCTCTTTTGGCTTGTAAATAGTAATGTTACTATTCTCCATAGAAAAGAAGAGCCTGTGAATCTTTTATGCCATTTAGGGTCCTCTCTTGAGACAAGAGAGTCACGAATGCAATCAGGAATATTTGTAGCATTAACTGGTTCATAAGGAAGTATAGATAAATGTACATAATATGATGAAAATAATACAACTGAAGCTCCTGCGATAATAATGAGACATCTGATATAAGCATCCTTTGCTCTTGTAAAGCTCATTATTTTGCTATAGTTTTGGAACTGTCTGAATAAAGCTAGTAAGATTAATCCACCTGCTGTTAATTTACTTGAAATTGCGAGGCCAATACATAAACTTTGAGCTATAAGAGTAACTATACTTGGATAATTTTCATAAACAAAGATAGAAAATATGGCAATTATTGAAAATAAATGAAGAATTCCATCTGTAACATATAATCTGCTTTCAGTAATTAGTAATTGATCTAAAGATGCAAAGCAAGCACACGTAAAAGCTGAGAATGATGATAAATGTGCAAATTTAACTGTTAAAAATGTGAAAACTGGAACTAAACCGGATAAAACAGCCGGTACTAGACGAAGAGTTGCGTATTCAAATGTAGGGAATTCTGCTTTTGTTTCTTGAAGTTTTTTGAAGTCAATATCTCCATTATAATTTCCTAAATATGCAAAAAATGCCATAATGAGCTTTGGTAATGGAGGATGGATATCTGTAAAGTATGTTCCTTTCATATAATTATTGATGTATGTACCAAAATGAACTTCATCGAAGACTGGAGTATTTGGATAGTAAATGCGAAAAGCTCTGAGGAAAACTCCGACGAAAATGAAGAAAACGACAGCTATTACATCAGATGTGACGAAATCTACTTGATTATTGAGTTGTGTTGGAATTATTTCTTTTAATATGCTTTTTGTGGATCTTTTTTGATGCTTCATACCATCTGATTGTATATTTAATGATCGTGGAAGTTCATTATCTGAATGTTCTCTTCCGGACGAATTACTAATCGCCGAAGATGAACTATCTTCCATAAAAAATGGAATGAATCAATAATAGAAATTCAAGAAGCATATATACATCATCATACGCATAGAATTCTTGAATAAAATATGGGTATTGAAGAGGGATTAATTCGAGATTGAATAAAACTAGACAATATTAGTTGCATTCTTCTTTACCATGGAAAGTTCAATTAAACCAAAGAATATTCTGGTTGTTTTGATAAAAATGTAGATAAAATATTTTGTTGAAACAGATATAAAGTATGAATTGTAGGTGCTTGTCATTCATCCAATTGATGGTTAGTGAAAAAACAATAAGAAAAATTAAAATTATCAAAATATGAGAATAAAAGTTTTATTTTCAAGAGTATGACTTTATTTATTTGGATGTGGGTGGTCATTCCTTTGCTTTGGTTTATGGTTTTGATTTGAGCTCTTTGGTCTTCTATCATTATGGCCTCTTCCACCGTTCTTTCTTGGTTGGTTTTCATTGGCTGGGGCTGTTTGCATTGGCTTAGCCTCTAAATTATTACCAAGAGGTCCAAGAACTTCCTTAATCTTTGCAGCAATTTCATCTTTTTCTTTATCATTCTCGAGTTTTCTTGTCCAAACGCCTAAACGTATTGTTGTTCCTCTATTGTTGTATTCTATTCCATTAATCTTATCAACTGGGAAAGTTGTGAAAACAGAAAGAACTAAATCCAACCATTTATTTTGAGCTTCTAAGATAACACCCTTTTCTTTATTTTTCTCGTTTGGATTTGGAATTTCAACTGTATACTGTGTACCGTTTTGGTTTGCCTGATCTTCCCACATTGGCTGAATTCCTTTCTGAAAAACATAGTAACGGCATGCTTTTGGAAGATCTGATGGTGGTTCAATTGAATTATAAATTGCAAAGAAATCTTCGTAGCTTGAGAAATCGGTCAATGGATGGATGAATTTTTCCCATGCAATATTGCTTTTTCCTTGTCCGCTTGGGATGCAATAAGAAAATGTCCAGGGTTTGCTCAACGCATGATGAGAAACGCCTTCAACTAAGTGTTTCGTGGTCATTTGTTTAAAAGGTGACTAAAAAAGTGACGGAAACTTCGAGCTCTGTCAATAAATTTTCCATCATGCATCATATCACGTCATAGATTTCGATTGTGTTATTGTTTGGCTCGCTATGTAATGAGTTTGTGGTTCGTTTAATACATCATTATGAAATAATTACTATATTTCATATGAAAAATGACTTATTTCGTTTAGCTACTTTAATACTTTAAGCCTTTATACAATATTCACATGCCAAATATAAGCTATTATTAATGATTCGCTCAGAAAATATACGCATCAAAACAATTTTGCTTGACTATATATAATAACATACAACCATACTTTTTGCTTAATGTCTAGGACATATTATAGAGTATGTCGTTATATGAGAACAAAAAAATTCAAAGATGAATAATATTGGAATTATTCAATTTAGTTTATATAAGAATATTTAACTATATTCTTTTAATATTGTGTAAACATTAAGTGGCTAATCTCAATTCTTATAATTTTGAAAAATGGATGAAATATATAAGGCAAAAAATGGTGTTGTAGATGAAAATTTAGTAAATATGGCTATAATTCTTGATCAAACTCTATTTCATTTAGTTGTTATTTATGTGTTTTAATTGCAAACACATAATTTTTTTATGAATTATGGGTATAGATATACTGGACCTAATTCGAAGATAGCTCTTGCAATTTTTTCATGGTTGATGTTGTGCTTCTAAACAAAGAATCATTTGCTTCGAAAGAAATACGAATAATATTTTATGATGAGAAAATAAGCTTGGAAATGGTAAACCCAATATCGGGCCAAGCCATTGGTATGATTTCAAGCTTATTTTGATTTCCAAAAAAATTTCAAAATCATAAAAATAACATGAAACACAACATTTTTTGTTTTAAAATTTTGTCATGACTAATTTTTTTTGATTCTTTTGAATTCAAATCAATTTTTTGCGATGAATCTCATCTTAAATAAAGAAATTAAATAATAGAAACAGAATTATTTTAACAAAATTCTATATATGTAACATTTGAACTATAATTTCCTCGAATATTTTCATTAATTTTAAAATTAAGGACAATGTTCTTGGAAGCTTTTTCAGATTTAGGTTTTTTGTTTTTTCGACCAGAATTCCATAAATCTTATTATTATTTTGACGGTAAACCTCTTTGATTCTATCAAAATGGAAAAAAACGTCACTTTTTATTTCGAACAAAACCATTCATGTCTAAGGAAGAGAATAATCAGCCATTAATCTCCAACAAATCACCAAAACAAGACGAAATACTAACGAAAACCATAGGAAAAACAATATTTGCTGTTACTTTTTATATGTCCATCTCAATTATCCTTGTTTTCCTAAACAGACTTGTCATGTCAGAGTCTAAAGAAAAAGCAGGCGCTTTATTCACGTCTTGGTATCAATTTATCGTTACTTACATCATTATCATCATTATTTCAACGTTTTGCCAAAATGTTCCCATCTTAAATATATTTCCTCCGATTAGATACGATTTTCAAACATTTGTCAAAGTTTTACCTGTTTGTGTAACATATCTCTTACAAATCGGTCTCAATAATAAATGCTTGCAATTTGTAAGTGTTTCTGGCTACCAAGTCGTCCGATCCTTAACTATTCTTTTCAATATTTTATTAACTTACTTTATTTTAAACCAAACTACTTCTCTTAAGGCAGTTTTATGCTGTATCGGAGTTATCATCGGTTTCTTCTTTGGAGTAGAAGGAGAGATCGGATTAACATGGAAAGGATGCTTTTATGGCGTTGCATCTTCTTTATTCGTCGCTCTTTACTCAATTGTCGTAAAAAAGACTCTCAAATCATTGGACAACAACGAATACGTACTTATCGAATACAATACTCCAATAGCTATCATTGCTTTTATTCCTTTAATTTATTTCAACGGAGAATTTGAAGTTTTGACAAGAAAACTTTCAGCCAATTTCTGGATCATGCAAACACTTGCTGGTGTGGTCGGATTCCTTATAAATATCGCGATTTTTATTAATATTAACGTTACGTCTCCTCTTACGCATAATCTTGCCGGAACTGTTAAGGCTTGCATTCAGACAATCCTTGCGTTCTATATTTTCCCAAGTAGTGAAAAAATGACGATCAAAAAATTTATTGGAACAGTTATGATCATTGCTTTCTCAGGGCTTTACTCCGTTGTCCGTACTCTTGAAATGAAGGCAAAGAATGCTGCTCCTGCTAATCCAGTTGCTTTTAATCCTCAAAATGAAACAAAAAACAAAGGAAATAATGACCAAGAAGATAGTGAAGTAGAGCCTGATCCTGATGTCCCAAAAAAACGTCAACAGGAAGCTCAGTAGAGCCCTCATAAATTATTTTATAAATTTTTTTGTATGTATTAATAAAAACAGTCATTAACAGCCTATTTAGAAGCACATTGATATGATGTATAGCTCATTTTTCGTATTAACAAAAATAATTATTTTTTTTTTCTGTATTTCGATAATTAACAAACAGTTTATTAATTAAATGTTGATAGAACATCTCTTAGTCTTTCAAGTCTCTCTAACTCTTTTTGTGCCGCTTCGTAAGTGGCTCTAATTTGATCATAATTTGAATCTTTAAGCTTTTGAAGTTGAATTTTATTTTCGTTTTGAAGCTCGGCAATATTTCGTTGCCATTGATCAACTGTTTCTCCAAATTCAATAACTTTTTGATTATATTGCTCTTCTTCTTTTGTTGTTTCTAATTTCTGTAGTTCCCAAAACTTAGTAAGACTTGCTTGATACTTTTCCTTATAATCAATATTCTTCTCATGGATACCTTGTAACTTTGTCATTTAATGTGGCCGTTTATTTATTAAAAAAATTATTGTCAGATTTTTTTTGATTTACAAATTTTGTCAGAAAAAAATTTTTTTTTCGAAGTTGATAAAAATTAAAAAATCATTTTTTTAAATTAAAGTTGAGGAGTTACAGGTATAGCATCTGGTAACTATTTCTTCTTATTCGACAAAGTTCTGCTGGATGTTGATGTTTCACTGTATTCATTTTGGAAATAAGTTGCAGAGCTGTTCAACGACGTATTATCAGCAGAATTCTTTCTTGGAGGGACTTTCATACCATGATCTACTCTCTGAAGCTTCCTTACTCTTACAGAAGCTCCTCTATCGAATTTCATTTTTCTCTTTCTATTCATTTCTTCTTGTTTCTCTCCTTTACAGACCGGGCATATTTTATCTGCACCGCATGTTGCATTATTGTGGAAACAATGTCCGCATTCGTAACATTTCATTCCGACTCCGCCAGCACCGTTAATTGGCTGCTTGCACATACCACAAACAGCGTTATCAATGATAATACCTCTTGTTCTCGTCAGTTCCGCGAGTTCTCTCATCTTTCTACAGTCTTCCATGTAAATACTTTCGACATTCTGGGATAAATTGTATCTGTAACCCAAATATCCAATAAGGAATGAGAAAATATTCCTGTACTGTGAAGAATTAAGAGCTCTGAACTCTTGGCGAAGCAAACTAAATATTAAATCAACATTTGCTCGTCCTAGAGCTTCCACAATGAAGTAAGCAAAGAACAGAGCAATTGCTTGCTTCGTTTGTGGTGATGATTTGTTCTGGGAAAGCCAAATTGGCAACTGGAAACTTTGGAAAAGTGTTTTCCACATTTTTGTAACGATATCTTTAGCGTTTGGTGCTTTTTCTGCTGTTGTCAGGGCCATTTTGATATTTTCAAGGGCGTCTTTCAAAAGTGGCTCTTCTTGGACTCTATCTGCTGATGTCAGAATTATTTCTTGGCCGGACTGGATCAACGTTACTAGCAATCTCTCGTTCTCACCTGCCATGAGCTCAATGGCCTTTTGCGACTCACTTTGCAACATATAAATTTTGATACTTCCTTTGAGAACGGAATTGGAGAGGCAGGCTTCTAAGGCGGCATCTAAGTTGATATCTGGTGTTTCATCAAGGTATTTGACGACTTTTTCTGGTGCATATTTGCACATCAAGACAAAGTAACGAGTTCTGTCAGTTTGAGTAAGTATAAAGTCATATTTAGAGCCAATCATTGCTGCCAGATATAACCATTCGCAAAAAGTGTTGCATACAGTTCCAATATTGTTATGAAGTGTTGGAACGTACTCGTTAACGATGCGGACGGCGTTTTCTGGGCTTGCAATGATGAATGACTGTATGTAATTCGTGAAAGCTTTGATGAGAGAGCTGTTATTCGCTTCAATTTGGTCAGGAGTCATGTTTTTGTTCTCTTTGATGTAGTGATCGTCGAAATATTTGAATAACTGACAAGTATTTTCACGATTCATTGACATCATACGGATATTTGATTCATGATCGTTTTTAGCTGAAGGGAGAAGGCTTGAGAACCCTGCGCCTTCGATGTATGACTTCAACCTATCGAGTTGGATGTAGTTTGGATATTGTTGGGCTGCGAGTTTCAGTAAATTAATGCGATGTTCGCTCCAGCCGTAACTGTTGAAGATCCAGTGCATTGCTATTGGAATGACAGGTGGTGGAATGCGTTGTCCTGTTGAATTTATGATCTGGAAGCATGTTTCAAGGATATGTTCGATTAAATCGTAATCTTCAGTGCAAACTGTTCTAAGAATTGCATCGATTACGCCTTCTTGTGTTATAACAACACCATTGGCAAGCTTTACAGGAAGTAACGAAAGAACTTTGTTGATAAAAACGTTTGCGTTCTTCCAATCAGCCTTTAAAACGGTTCTTAAGCGTTCAAATGAACCGTTAACATATGTAAATGTCCAATAAACCAAAACGCCAAGGATTCTTTGGTCAATTCCTGGAATTGCTTCGTTAATGAAGACAATATCCATGAATTCCTTGAGTTTTCCATTCTCTAAGTATATATTGCATGGTTCTATGGCGTTGTGGTATATTGAAATTGAGAGTTTCAGGTATAATTTGTACATTTTGTACTGATTTGCGATATCAAGCACTGTTTTGGCACTTTCCGGTGTGTATTCGACACAAGAAAGATAACTTTCGCATTCAGAAAGCTTGTTCATTGAGTTATATAATTCTGCAAATTTAATAACGATTTTTGCTGGAGCTTGAGGTATGAATATGGATCCCTGACGGCCAAAGATGAGGCTGAAGTAGAAAGGAAGACGATTTTCCTTCTCAAAGTAGTTATATGCTGTAGAAAACACGAAATCACGCATTCCGAACGCGTTTGCTGTAGTAAATATCCATTCTGCGACTTCTTCTGTTTGAGCGCTCTTAAGTGATTCAGTCAACATTGGACCAACAGTATCAACTAATTGGATACAGCGGATATTTGGATTTGTACTGACACCGAAGTAATCAACAGCTGTACCAGCGTAGATAGTAATAGCCGTTGAGAAGCATTCGATGAATAGTTTCTTGTCAAAATATTCTTGAAGTAACTTCTTCCAGTCGAAGAGAGTCATTTCAATTATTCCTCTCTTGCCGATGAAGAATATTTGATCTTTCTGACCAAATATGATGGAAGACTTCTTAATCAGATCTGTAATGTTCGCATTTTGGTATTTTTGCACGATTTTGGAGGAACAGTTAAAGAGTAAGAGAGAGCCGTTGGTTAGAGTTGCAGCAGCCAAATTACAGCTGCAGAAAGCAATATTAGTTATTGTTGCTTCGAAACAGCATTCGCGAACGCATCCAGTTGTAAGGACATTCTCCATTCTAAATATCTTGCAGTATGGACCATCAGTTACGTAGATTTCTGGAACATCATCGCGTTTTGCGAGATAAAATTTCGGTTTCTGATCTCTCATGGCCTGATAAAATTGGTTAATGATATTATTTGCAGGAACAAAGATGTAGATAGCATTATCAGTTGAAATTATGAGATAGTTTGTCAGTTGATTATCAACTTTGGTAATATTGTTCGGAAACTTATATAATTCCATTTCATGGAGGTTACTTGAGATTTTTTTCTTAAAATTATACTTAAATAGGGTATTCTCGTTGTCAAATCCATAAAATGAATTATCTTCTTCGGTGTAAGCCACAAATTTGAGCTGGCGAGGTGTTCTAATACGATCAATCAATTTGTTTTTCACTAAATCCCAGTATGCAATTCCAGCATTTTCATGAACAGAAATTGCCTTTGTGCAATCATTGGATATAGTAATATCTAGGGCTGTTCCTAGATCAGTTGCTGTGTTTTTGATTGGCTTAGGTGACATATCATACGTCTGGCCGAAATATGGGGTCGAATTTCCTACAAGGAAAGAAAATGTGCTATTCTTCTGCGCAAATCCATAAGGGTTTTGGAGAAAGCATATATCATCAATAACGCGAAATCCATCGGTGCGACGGATTTCCAAAACACCTGAGGAATCGTTCATTGTAAAATATTTTTTGAGAATGTCAGAATTGAAATGTAAAATTTTGAGATTAATTTCATTCTATTATTATCAGATTGTACTTGAAAAATTAAATGTTATCGGAGAAAACATTCTCAGAAAATTATTTTTTAGTGCTTTTGATCGCATATTAACCAATATCAATATCCTGTCTAGGCGATATAAAATCACGCTCAAAAAATATTTCTTAGGGAATTTAATTGATTAATTTTGCAAATTACCTCAGACTTTTCAGAGGATTGAGTTGCCACTCAATCCTCTGAAATAGTCTGTGGTAATTTTTAGTCTCTACACTATTTCAATATAAGCTCCATTTTTAAACAGTTTTTAAAAATCGAGCATTGAAAAGTGTGATGAGACTTTATTTTTTAAGGATGAAATGAGATTCTTTATCTACTGCCTTTATAGGATATAAGAAATATTATATAAATTAAAATCGGGTTAATTTTTTCAAAGTTGATGAAAATTAATTTGGATTTTATAATTTATAGATTATGATGCTATTATTTGCAAATAAATTCTAACGTATTTATTGTGAGCTATATGCAAAAGTGGTTTTATTTTTCTGATAATTATCTTTACTAAAGTTTCTAGTAAAATTGGAACCATACAATATATCACATTTTCACCAATGAATACTTTTACAATTTTGTATTCCTTTCAATTCATAAATTCAATTCAAATTGTATTAAAGTCTTATAGTTTTTAATTATTAGAATAATATACTAGTATGTTGAATTTGAAATTTTTTTGATCGTACATAAAATACGAAAAATTGAAAAATATCACAGACGAAAAACATTTCAACTCTTAGATTCATTGAACAAATCTTAAACAGATATAATAAACCCAATACCTAGTGTATTCTTTGTGGAACAAATTCCTATTTTATTCATACATTATCTTCATTTTTTTTATATCCAAACTAATTAAAGCCATAACATACATATTTAAACAAATAAATTTATTAATATCCATTAGTATTATCAAATCCTTAGCGAAGATTTCAAAAAAGCCCGTTAGAAAGATTTTTCAATACGATTAGAAAAAAACAAACATTACATAAATGCTAATCTAATTGAAATATATGCTATACGAGAGTTGTTTATTCTAATATTATAATACATACATATGGTTCACGCGTTTGTCATTGCGATTTTGAATTTAATCCATTGTTGTTCTGATGGAGATAAAAGAGGGAGAATATTATTATAAAAGTTATCAGTGACTTCGCACTTATTTTCGAGCAACAAGAAAATTACTTCAATTTGAGTGCATTTTTCTAGGGCATCATCTGGTATTTGGCATCCATTATCAATAAGTAACTTTGCTGCTTCAAGATGGATCCTACCATCGATGTTTGCAAATGTTAATTTGTTGCATTCTTTGAAAGCGTAAGGAATAAACTCTGTCGGCAAGCGGATATTGTCTATTTTAATTCCAGCTGTTATGCAGTATACTAAGAAACGTGCATTATGAGTACTTTCCAGTATTTTCTTGAACTCATTTTTCGTTTCTTCAAGAGAATGACGTTCTGCGAACTTTGCTATGCAATGATCAGCTATTTTTGTATTGCATGAGTTTAGTGCTGCAAGAATATTTGTACTACTCTTTCCTCCAGCCGTTTCAAATAATCTTATAATTTCCATATTACCAATTTCGATAGCTTTTGTCATAATTTCTGGTGAGACAATTGCTCCATGTTGTATTAAGTGCTTTGCGCATTTCAAAGAGGAAAATTGTGCAGCAATATACAAAGGTAAATAGAGATCTCCTTCAATTGAAGGTATTACCGGGATATCTGTAAAGGAAACATTGTAATCTGTAATCTCAAGAGATGTTAAGTAGTTGATATCATCGTTTTTGATATGAAAACGTAAAGAATTATTTACAATATCATTTTCAAGTAAATATTTTTGTTGCTCATCTGTAAGAGATAAAAAATCATGCAGTTCTTGATTTCCTTCTGTGAGATTAATCTGCGAAAGATTTACTTTTGGAAAATATAGTAAGAAAGGCTTGATTTTTTCAGGAAAAGGGCATGTATTGAGAACATTTTCTATAAAATTTAATTGAATAAGTCCGTTTTTATAAAGTAAATATGCAATTTTTGGTGAATTAATGAGTTGAAAATTGTTGATTGAAGGAATTTCGGACTGATGACTAATGAAATATTCTGCTAAGTCATTTTGATTGATTTTGTTTGAAAACGGGTCGATACCAAGTTCTTTAAATTTTGGATAATTTTTTTCTATGAATCTTTTCTTTTCTGCCGTACCACAGTACTTTGTGCATGAAAACATTTCGTTTGCTGCAGCAACCAAATCGAATTCCTGAGGAATTTCAACAGATGATAATTGTGGTACGTACATTCTCTATTAATGATCCAAAGAATGGCTTAATCACCTTTCAAAAAAATATTACTATTAATTTATTAGAAAAATAGTCTTTAAAAATTGGACTTAATGAAATGAAAAAAAAATTATAAGAATTTATTCAGTTAAAAATAATGATATTAGCCGAATATAAGTAAATTGTTAATATTTAACACGGGAGAAACTTATTTGAAAGAAAGAAGGAGGCAAACCAAGGCAGTTAATGGAGGTGTGAACAAAATTGTTGCATTTAACCAGTTCTGTGGATATGCAGCAAAAACGTAGAGACCAACAAAGCATTTTGGTCCAAGTCCGCAAACAACCCAAGGTAAAGCGTATCTGCCAATACGAGCGAAGTAGTATGAAGCGGCAATAATTGAAACAACTGAAAATGAGATAGAATATAAAGCAACAATTTTGGCCAGTGGCTCTGCATCGTCAACTTTATCACCTGGATATTTGAATAACTTTTGTGCAAATGCTGTCTTCCATCTGAACATGAGAAGATATGCAAGATAAAGGTGCATGAGGACTGAAATGAAGAGGAATATTAAACCAACTAAAATAAGTATTGCCATCAGCCAATTGTCACTTTTGAGCTCGACATTCATATTTTCCATTCTCGAAAGCCTAAGTTCCATTTTAATTGATTAACAGTGGTAAAAATTTTCACCATAATATCCTTCGGTTTCCTCGTTTCAAACTTGGAATGAGTGCGGGACAAATTTGCCAACTGTCACTTTTCAATAACCTTAAACTACGCTTTTCTAATTTTTTAAAAATAACCTTAAATTATATTTGAAGAAATTATGTCTATGATATATGTTTTATGCTAGAATCTTGGAGTTTTCATGCACTACACAAGAGCTCCAAGGTTCCAAGAGTGAATGCTCAATAGCAATTATAGAGATGTAACTTTTCAAAATGACTTTTACTGATTAAATTTAATCAATAGAAGACATTTTGAAAAGGTACCTCTACAATTAGATATACAAGAGATTCAAAGCTTCATTTCAGATAGATTTGAAACTTTGAAACTCTTGGTAGATTTTGAGTGAATGCTGACAATCATCTTTGAGAAGGTTTTCTTAAAGAAAACCTTCTCAAAGAGGTTTCTCAGGAGCCCTGAGGCTCCCTTTCGTAATGATTGGGAGCCTTGGGGCTCCTGAGACGAAGAATGGCTTCGCCGAATCTTTGATCAGCAGAGGCCAAATGAAAAGGCCTCTGCTGATGGATTCTCAGGAGCCCTGAGGCTCCCTTTCGTAATGATTGGGAGCCTTGGGGCTCCTGCAGCAGAGTATCGCTCTGCTCCATTAATTTTTTTAAAAAAAAGTGCCGTGTGGCAAATTTGTCCTGTTCCCTCCAAGTTTTAGGTGAAACTCATTCACAATCTAATAGGTATACTAACAAATTTAATTATGGTTCAAGTATGATTGCATTTGATCTGCAATAAAAAATTTCTGGCTAGTATTACATAATCATTTAACCTAATATCTAAGACTATTTTACTAAGTGTTAAAACATTATTTTATATGTAATTTCACTTAAATATAAGTAATTTTAAACAAAAAATAACAATAAATAAATTATAAGACATTGACTAACATACAATACGATTTTCCTAGAAAAATATATGATCAATCAATAAAAACTTATAGATTCTCTTATTATGGTATTTGATAACAATTTGAATTCAAGGATTAAGTCCAAAATTCGTGGAACTAGATCTATTATTTTCAGTAATGAAGTTTGCTTTCTTTTAGATGGTGATGCTTTTCCTTGGAATAAAAGATTTTGGAAGTTTCATGTTGATAGAAAAGAATATCAGAGTAATTTATAATAATTAAATTTTGGTTCTGAATTTCATCAACAGTTCTTCAACATCCAGTGCATATTTTGCTGTTTGGTATTCGTTTATTAAAGAGTCCCGTTTCTGAATTGCATTATCGTGCATTTCATGTAATTCATTAATTTCCGCTCTAAATTGTTCTACCATAGAACGCATTTTATCAACTAAATCTTGTAATTCTCTTTCTTCCTCTGTTTGTTCGAGACTACTTAGTTTCCAGTACTCCTCTGCTTTAGATTTATATTTCTGTTCATATGATGGTCCTGAATACTCATACTTTGTTGTTCTTGTACTATAATCATTAGAAAATCTATTCATCATTAATAAATTTTTAAACGTCTATTGAACTTCACCCAAAGATGTTACCCCCTAAATATTTTTTAATTCTCTTGATTGTTTTTCAATCAAGAGAATTCATGATTTTATGAATTCTATTAGAAGCAAAAGAAGATTATCCATTATGATCAATCACCTGATGATGTTTGGGAGCACTTTTACAATACACAACCTAATTCAGAACCAATTCAAGGTACAAACGTTCAAGCAAGATCAACAAATAATGAATGCTTCTTATATAACTGTATATTCATCACCATTACAACTAATAGTGCCATTTATTTTTCGAAAACAAACAATAAATTTCTTAACTCAGATTGTTCATTTACTAACTGCAGCAGTAATACAAATGGTGGATCTATATACTTTAACTGTGATAGTTCAATTGTTCAATACCGAACATGTGGCTATAAATCAAAAACAAACTCCTGGGGACATCATTCATATGTTTGGTTAGTTTCTAAATCAAATAATAAAAATTATCTTTATGAAAGTTCTTTTTATGAATGCGGAAATTTAGAAAAAATGAGAACAAATTATCTTTGGTATGGAAATATTGAAGTTAAATCAATCAACACAAGTTTCTGTGAAGCAGACTATGACTCAGGAATATATTTAGGTTATCCAACAAGTCTAAGTAATGTAACATATTCATCATTTTGTAACACAACATCAAATAATTTAATTTTAAATTTAATTTATGGTAACTATAATTTTAATTTTTGTAATGTTTTGAATAATGAACACAAAAAATCTGATTATGGAACATTCTGGGCAGTTGATTCAACTGTTCTTATTGAAAACTGTTCATTTCTTGGAAACACAGGATCAGGAGTAGAATTTTATCAAGATAGTTCTGGTTCAATTACTGTTAAAGATTCTTTCTGTGACAGAATAATAGATAAAACAAAAGGATCAGTTACAACAAATAATGTTGAAAATACATCTTCTATTCATAATCTTTCTCACTTTTCATCATATCTGTGTGAAGTTGATTATCCTATTTTAGATTTAGAGATAAAGAAGAATATTATCACAAAATATGAAATTATTTATCATTATTCATATCATTTCATTACTTCTCTTTGTATTGTTTTAGTAAAATCATAAAATTAATTAAATATACTGTTTATTTGCAGAATCAGTTCATTAATTTAAAATATTTACGTTATTTCCTCCATTCGTCTTCCTCCGGTTTAAATTCTGAAGCAATAGGCAGGCAGTATATGATATATTAATGCTACCATAATGCTTATTCAGAGAAATAATACATTTAAGTGTTAAAAATACGAAATATCACTTTTATTGCAAAGAGAACGAAATTCTGTATAACTTGTTGTCAGAACTGAAATCTTATTCTAATTATATCATCTCATCATTTAACATTTTCTGTGATTAAAATGCATAAATGGTAAGATTATGAATAGTATTTTTTAATATGAAATAAATACACACAATAAAAATTAATATAAAAAATATTTTTATTTGTCTAAAGATGAATCAAAATTTGTTTGTTGAATATTCATAAGATCAAACAAATATTTAGATGTTGGCATGCGACGCCAAAATTCGATTGATGAAGTAGAATATAATTTAGAAAGACCTTTGTGATCGAAGTGATCGGTAAGTAATGAATCCAAGCCAACAATGTATGGGTCAATCATGTGACGAATGAATAATTCGGTCGAGTGGTCGTTGTCAAGACGATCAACTTCGATACCATGGTTACTAATCATGAATGCTTGAATAATACTGTAACTGAATTCAACATTGTAGTTAGTCAAGATGAAACTAGACCAGATAAGTTGAAGTGTGACACATAATGCACGGATCTGTTTAGGACGTTCAAGGATGTCAAACATGTTAAACCAACTTCGTTCAAGATATTTGTCGATGTTATCAAGAACTTCTAAGTTACATGTTGGAAAAATACTAAAATCACAACCACGTGAACCAAGATTCTTGTAACGAATGTATGTAGTCTCTTGTTCAACAAACCGACGTGAAAATGTGAATTCGTCAACACCAAAATCGTATTCGGAACAATCGACGTTCTCAAGAGGTGTTGACAATGATAAAAGTTGACGCATTTTCTCAAATGCTGGTTTGATAATACCGAAAAAGCGTGGTGATTTTCGTTCATAGCGTTGAAGAGAGATTTGTGGTGTCAGAGATAATGAAATATTGTTTTTGCTAGAACGGTGAAGAACTGGATGACGAAGGTCAACAAATGATAAGATTTGACATGAAATATCAACAATATCACAAAACAGTGTCATCTTGGACTTTTTAAGATTCTTCTGCATACAAAATGTGATGTAAAGGGTAACTAAACCAAGTGCACGAACTAAACGTGGATTAGATGTGTATTCCATAACGTGTGGAATGCATCGTTGACCAATTCGGTCGGAATCTTCAATAAGTTTATGAAGAATTTCGTCTTGTTCAAGAGACAATGGGATATCAAAATGTGTTTCTTCGTTTTCTTTTGAACATTCTTGACATTTTGATTCAAGGTCCTCAATATAAAAATGAAATTTGTCAATAGGTTCAGAAAAATGATGAACAAAGCGATGAATAAATAAATATGTATAAAAAACGGTTTCTCGAATATTATCAAAATGGATACTTTCGTTGAAGTTGTATAATATTCCTGAAATATGATCGTTTGCAATAGATTTGTCGCATGTGTCAACAAACAAATCATTACAAAAAATTTTGTAAAGACCCAATATTTTTGAATATGCTGATTCAAACTTGCCAAGATGAAAATGACAAATAGCCGAGTTTTTAATTGTCTCGTAATCATCTGGTTTCTGTGTTAATGCCAAATCGTAATAATGTTGTGCAATTTTCAATTCACCGATATCAAACAAAAAATCAGCAGTAACACGTAAAAGAAAGAATGTAGGAGAAATTTCGACTGCGCGAAGAATATGTTTGCGTGCTTCTTGTGTGAAATAATATCCTTTAGATCGTAAGATTAAATAATGACAATAATGTTTCCGGTGATCATTGTCAATTTGGCATCGTTCGATTGCATCGCTAGCTCGAAGTATGTCACCAACGGAATAAAGACATTCAGCAATGTAAAGCCAAATACGATCTGTGTAACATTGTTCTGGAACACTCTTGAAGTCTTGTAATGCAAGTGAATACAAACCACGTGACATGTGCATCTTACCTCGTTCTGCAATAGACTCGAAGTCTGTTGGTGTATTAAGGATAGCTTTGCTGATCTTAGAAATAGCTTCAAAGACATGTCTTGTAGATGCTAATGCGATCGAAAGAAATTTTAATGCATCTGTTTCGATTTCTTGTGGAAATTCTCGGTCAAGATCTTCAATACACTTAGTCCAGCGACCGGACAAGCAGTACGCAATTCCACGACCTCGGTATGCTTCCAAGTTGTTAGGATCTTTATCGAGTATAAGTGAAAAGTATGTTAATGCAGATGCCAAACTGTTGTTTCGAAGTTCAGAGTATGCCGTGTCGATGTCGTAATCTGATAAGTTGATTTCTTGATCGAAATTGATGTATGTGTCTATGATGTATGGAACATCGAACTTATGTTTCAAAATATTCGCTCGTAAGTTTTGATTTTGAATTAAACTATTAATAATGCTTGCGTCTTTCACGTCAATAAGAATAGTTGATGCAGTACACCATATTTTGATTGCTTCTTGCTCGTTATTCATCCAGAGGTGAATAATTCCTTGAATGTAGTACAAAAGTCCAATATTTTTCGATATCTTTTGTGTTTCTGCACATTTCTTGAGCGCTGCGCGTACAGATTCTAAATGTAGAAGACAAAGAGCTAATTTGAGATTGACCAAGACGTATTCGGCTGCTGTATTCGCTTGTCGTTGCTCTAAATCGAGAACATCCATAAGATTTGATACATTGCCTCTCTTCAATTCGGCTGATACATCGTGAAGAGAAGCAAAATTCATCAACGATATTCTGCTGAATGAAAATCTTGATAAAATATAGAATTGTAATTATAAATACTATTCCTTTTTTATATAAATTTGTTCATTTAGCTCATTTTTTTTTCCCTTCTCCCATTTTTTTTTCAAACATTCATTTGGAATAGGTGAGATCACACTCTGGCCAGTTGCGTTATGCATTTAAGTAAAATAAGACAATCTGAAAGATATCTAAAAAAACATTTTACAATTGGTCCGGTTCAAGGAGTTAAGAGACTTTCTAATCAATATTTTTATCAAATCATGGTTGTGTTGCTTCTTGTTAGGCAAAATCTGATATTTTTATTGAAGTTCAATATTTACTTGAAAATTGGGATTAAAAGGATCAATACAATACAAACCAATATGAGTGAGTCTTATACTTACCATTCATTTTAGTTTGAAAGCCAGGAAATATGGTTTGATTCCAACTAGCTAAGAAATCTAATCAATGAATTATACAAATGACATACATCAATAAGACATTGAGATGTCAACCATAATCATATCTGAACGCAAATTTTTTCATTAAAATTTCATTTTCTTTAAGTAGTCTTTCTTTATTTATCGCAATGATAAGCCAATTCAACAACTTAGCATATGTTGGTCATATTGGATGGAGTGCACATATATTTTATATAATTCTTTATATTTGTGTGTTCACTAGAGACGTTAGCTACCATGATATATTCCATCGTACATTATATATAAATAGACAATAAATACCATGAAAATATAATATTTTAAAGATATTTTCCATGGAAATCGGAGATATTTTTTTATTTTATGGCTGAATATTTAAAATTTTGTTCATTGGCGTTCAAACACATCTAACCTAATACAATTTCATTAAGCGATTTATTAGTTCGATTGATGTCGGAATTGAGAATATCGTTAATTTTACGTCATTTTTTATCCAAGAATTGAACTTTATTTAAAATATTTACAAACTTTGCTTACTAATGAAATCCTATACCGACCAACCAAAAAGTCGTTGCATGATTACATAATTCTGAGCCCCAATCAAAAGTGAAATGAAAATCAAACATGAGTTAGAATCAAAACTCCAGCCAAATCAGAAGCATTTACATCTAGATACATCTCCCAACAATATTTGGGTGATGTTTTATCCAGATACAACAAATCCCGAACCAATTTCAGGTACAAACAAAGGTGTTACAAATGAAGGAGATTGCTTCATATACAATAGTATGTTTTTCAATTTTACTTCGAAAACTGCTATTTATTTCCTAAATAATAACATGTTTAAATTTCTCATCTCTGATTGTATTTTTTCGAACTGTAGCTCTCCGAATCATGCTGGAGCAGTTCAAATTACAGGGAGTGGTTCTGTTGTTCAATATAGATCTTGCTGCTATAAATCAATAAATAGGCTTCCCACAAATTCTGAAAATGGACATCATTCCTATATCAAATTAGATTCTTTCAATTATATAAATTATATTTTTGACTGTTCATTTCATTCATGTGGTAATATTGAAAATTCCCATACCAATTATCTTTATAACGGAGATATTGAAGTTAAATCAATCAACACAAGTGTATGCAAGGCCCAATATAGTTCAGGTATTTACATTATGTCAAATAATGTTCTTTGCAAAATAAAACAATCATCATTCTATAACACAACATCTACTAATGACATATTTTGTATCGACAAATTGCATTTTGCTTTTTGTAATGTTTTGAAAAATGAAGTTCAAAATGGTAAAGGAATATTTTATGTTATTCAATCCGCAGTTATCGAAAATTGCTCAATTCTTTGCAACTCAGGCAAAGTTTTTCATACTGACATTGATACTATCAATGTTAAAAATGTATTTTGCGACAAAATGAATGGATATATGAATGTTAAAATAGAGAATATTTGGAACACATATTCAATTAATAATCACAATCATTATTCTTCATATCTATGTGAAGGTCAATATCAATATCATAAAGAAGATACAATAAATAAAAAAGCCACTGAATCATTTCTGCAAATGAGTTTCTCAATTAGAAGATTGAGAGTATAAGAAATAGAAATCAGGAACATTTTTAAGAATACAAATCATATACATCTCTCATTGTTCTTCTTTAACTTATAAACTAGTTTATTGTGATATGAATTGCATAGATTTCAAGATAATGTAAATATTTTTTTGTAAGGAATCATAATGCATTTATTTTGATCTCCTTCGGAAGCCTTCGATCAGGATTTTCATTGCGTTGTGCTCAGCATCAGGAAAAAAGGTGAGTGATTCTATAACATATATTCACATGATAATATTTATTTCATATTAAAAATGTTAGATGTTTTGATATGTTATTTAGCATTTATGAGGTGCTTATTAACATCATCTATTTATATTTCAGTAGTCATGATAGTGGAAATAAAAATCGCCTTCAAAAACAATGAATTATTTTTTGAAAATTAATAATAAGATAAATCTATAAAAATTAATGGTTAAATGAATGTTAAAAAAGAATAGGAGATTATTATCAAATATATATAGGTTTACTTATTAATATAATTTGCAAATATTCGGAGTTCAAAATACTGGATATCCAGCTTTGACCTTTTCATTGTATTCAGCAACAATACGCTCAACAACAGTCTTTGCGGATGTAATATCCTTGAATAAGGAAGCAATTTGTCCAATTTCGAGTTCTCCTTCCTTCATATCACCAAGGAACATTCCCTTCCTTGATCTTCCTCTTCCAAGTAAATCGCTTAATTCTTTGTAAGAAGCACCACGATCTTCGAAAGATTTGACTTGTTTGTAGAAATCGTTCTTGATAAGACGTGTTGCGACAATCTTCTTGAGAGAAAGCATTGTATCGCCTTCTTTGAGGCTTGCGCAAAGCTTCTTGAAGTTTTCATGAGCAGAACTTTCTTGTGTCATAGCAAAACGAGTTCCAACTTGAATACCTTCAGCACCAAGGGCCATAGCAGCTAACATGCCACCTCCTGTGCCAATGCCGCCTGCAGCAATTAAAGGAATATCAACTGCCTTGCGAACATGAGGGATTAATGTCATTGTAGATGTTTCTTCTGCACCATTGTGACCACCTGCCTCGAAACCTTCAGCAACAACAGCATCTACGCCTGCTTCTTGTGATTTAATTGCAAATTTACTGCTTGAAGTAACGTGAACGACCTTAATTCCGTTGTTTTTAAGTGTTTTAGTCCATGTCTTTGGATTTCCTGCTGATGTGAAGACGACAGGAACTTTATTATCGATAATAATTTTCATTACTTTCTCAACTTCTGGCAACATCATTGGAACATTGACACCAAATGGCTTATCTGTAGCTGCTTTGCACTTCTTGATATGTTCTGAGAGAAGATCTGGAGTCATACTGCCAGATCCGATTAATCCGAGGCCTCCTGCGTTAGATACAGCAGAAGCAAGCTTCCAGCCACTGCACCATACCATGCCACCTGAAATGATCGGGTATTTGATTCCGAATAACTTGGTGATTCGATTACTTGCGTTCGAGATCATTTTTTGATTTTTGTCTGGCTAACTATAGGGGGCTGCATTCAATTAAAATCTGTCACAATGACCTATGATCACCTGCATTCAATTATCTTATCTCAAATTTTTAAATTGACATAAATTAAAGTTGACAGATATCACATTTTGATCATATTTACTTCAATACATATTTGAAATAACGGAAATTTCTCTCAATTTTGAGAGAAAACTGTTCTACCCATAATAACTAATATTAACGAAACACAGTTAATGTTTAGAAATTTTAATTAAGTCTGTTTTCTCTCAAAATTTTATGAATAAGGTTCATTTTATCTCACCCATCAAAAATTTTTTAACAACAAACAATAATATAATTTAATCTATAAGAGAGAATCGACATCTATATCGAATATGCAAACCAGTATAACATTGACGAGGGAGAGTACCATCTCGATATTATATATGAACGGAAAAATGCAACTGTTAAAATCATAAAAATAGAAGACCTTGGAGAAAACGTTTATATTTCTACAAAATATAACAACTTGGCATGGTATAGATTTATGAGGATGTTAATCAGCCTGCAGCATATCCAGTACACCCGGACTTTTATGAAGTCGAAAACCCTAATGAACATATGAAAATGTTTTCGACTCAGATGCTATTATTTGTTCATGCTTCATTTTCTGGCGCCCAAAACTCTTTTTTATGCTTGGCAAATGACTTTTACGAAAAACCTACAAAGTTATACGAACCACCAAGTGGAAGTATTTCAGACTTTCAAGTATGGTTTACAACAGATGGAAGAAAGAGAATAGTTCCATTATACCATGCGTTTTACTTAGAACTTAGTTTCATATACAACTACTATCGAACGGTAAAAATATAATTTTTTAATACGGTTGAGGTGTTGGATTTGGTTGCCAACTGACTGTGGTGCAGGTTCAGGCTGTTGTATAACAGGAGCTGTTTCTTCTGGTTCAGGGTCTTTAGGTATAATACCAACAAACTGACCTATCTTTTACCATATTTTGACTCCGTTCCAAATTCCTCTTCCTACGGTTTTTATTCCATTCCATATACCTCTTCCAACTCTTCTGAAGAAGTTTCCAATACTACTGAAGAAACCCATTTTACTATATGTAAAAATCTAATGTCCGCCTGTCTCTTACGTTTCCTGTTGAGTTCCATAGCATTCTTTAACTGGAGCTCATACATTCTGTTTCTCCTCTGGTAGAAAACATATTCTGGGTCAACTCCTGTTTCGCGTCATCTGCATAGAGTTGTTTATATCCCACTTCAGGGTTTGTATAAAACTCTTTCCATCTCATATTTGCATACCATGGTGGCAAACCTAACGCGGCGTCATTTGACATGGCAGTTTGCATTTGTACATCTGTTGGCCTTGACCATAGTTTGCCATTGCAGTTTGTATTCTAACTTCATTTGGAATATTCTCTGGGTTTGGTTGTCCAGGTTGCTGTGCATTCGCTAAGTTCTGTGCGTCCATTTAATATTAGATAAAAATATCTCTTACGAGTACATATACTGGACATTTGCAGGCATTGGTTCATCTTCATATTCTCTATATCTTTCTGCCACGTCAAATAATAAATGACACAATGGAAAAAACCTAAAACAAGTAGTCCTATTTCAAACCACATTTACTTACTAGTAAAATTTCTTTGTTATGACACTTTTCTCCGGTTTATAGGACCTCTCTCATATTCTATCTTATCATATCTAAACTCATAGTCATGTATGTCCTCTAACCATCTCATAACGGTTTCCAAACCACTTTTATCGGATGTAAAGTAAAAGCATGGATGGTTATGTATAACGTCTAAAGTTTCTAAAGAGTCTCTCAAAGTCCAGTCTACTTGGTATTGAAAATCCCATGTGTTATAGAACGGCGGGTCCACTATAAAGAAAACATTTTCCTTGTCTTATATTTTTTCATACAACTCTGTCCAACGACATCTCACAAACTCTATACCCTCAATATATTTTCTATGTCCTCTTTGAAAACATTTGTATAGTTAAGATATAAAACGTTTGACATAAGTGTTTCAATGTCATGAACTCTTATAGCACCACTATATAATAGTCTAGCAGATATACTATCCCAGTCTATATATTCTGCTTTTTTCAAAACCTTCTCTCACAATATTTCTTATCTAATGGTATACGTTCCATCTTACCTATAGGTATCTTTCTTTTAACTCTTTCAATATATTGTTTGTGTCTGGTATATGTTTGAGACGGTCCATATAGTTGTCGAAGTCATTGATATAATCTTTGAGTCTGGGAATATTGTATGGCACAAATGGGATATATAGAAACTTCCCCGAACAAATCTACAAATGTTAGACATTCGTAGTTTCTTAAGTTCTCTCAATAGAATATCTTTACATCTACTCTTATTTCCAAAGAACGGTAACGTGGTTTTTAAAATTCATTTAATAAATAATAAAAATGTTTTTTTCCTGAAAAGTGACAGAAAAGTGACAAAACATGAAAACATATATAATTTGTGAAAAGCGACACAATATATAATGTTTTCGACCCAGAAGAAGGCTTCTCAAAGTATACTTCCTTGGAACGCCTGTAACTTTTCCTGTAGCGACGATAGACCCTTACTTGTCCGGACAAAGTTATACTAACATCTTCAGGGCTAGAGGGCGCAGCTCCGAAGCACTTTTTGCACAGCCCGAGCGCGCCGACTCTCTCGGTGCACTAACTTCCTATATTATCTTTTTTTTTTTTTTTTTTTTTTAAATATATTATCAAATGAGAGAAAATCACTCAACAAAAAAACAATTCTTTCAAAAAGTTTGACATTGATCTTTCTAATACATATCCTATGGAAGGAGTTTACATTCTCAAAATAAAAACCAGTTCAAAATCTTATTATTCCTTGAATAAAAATCATTTAATTTCAAATCCATTCAAATCCTTAAATTTGTATTAAAATCATTTTGCCAACAACAATACAATACAAATTACATTTCCATATATCTTCTTGTCATTTTAATTTTTTCTTCTATTTTATTTAATTTTATTTAAAGCATATAGACATCGAGATCCTTTACACATATTTATATAAAAGTCAAATACATAATAAATTCTTAATTCTAGAGATATCTCAAAATCTCATTTTTTTAATTTAAAATACCTTTCATTTTTCACAGTACGATCACAAACAAACAAGCCATTTACTAATTAACACATATAAGAAAAATATCAATTACAAAACAACTTTCAATATCATTCGCATCAAATTCTATTTTTTCATAATTATCAACTACATGTTATTATATAATATATGTCGGCGCATATTCCACTCTATACAAGTGTCAGACACACTCACACAAAGCTGTGAGATTCATACCTCTATCAGTAGGACTCTCAAATCAAGAACACATATGTTTCACTATCGCACATCTGTGTAGGATCTAATTAACCCTTTGGACTGGTACTTCAAAATTTGATAATTTGAATTATTCATGTGATATCATCATTTGCCTTTAAAAAAACAGTGCGTTAAACTAGACACGTTTCTCTATCATAATGCAAATATCAAAGTTTGGGAGATTCCAAAGTGTCTGAAACTGATCATAAGGTGAAAAACCGTTTTCCAGAAGTTGGGAACGTAGGGTAGTTTCTGATGTTTATTGTAAAACATTAATACCACATGTTCAAATTTAATGATATAAAAAACTTTTTGCTTTACTATAATATACAGATTTATCACGATCAATACAATGGTGTTGACGAATCCAGGACTGTCTAAAAATCTACAGTTCATTTATGAGACACTATGTAAAATAAAGTCTTCTCTTTAGTTTAAATTTGATAAAAACTATATTTTCAACGATTTTGAAAAATAATCTCCAAAATTTCACTTACACAATACTTGTTTAATATAACATTTCATTAATATAATTCGTTCTCACACAATTTCTCTATACGGAGAGAACTTAATATTGAAAAATGCTTGAATTGATTGCAAAAATTCGAATGGTATGAAGAACAATACTCATCACTTAAATTCTAGGATTTTGTTATTTATATACTTTTATCAAATCAATCAAAATCAAGTCTATAATCATTTTATTTTCTTCAAAAAATTGAAATAAAATAATATTTATTTTTAATTTGAATTCATGTATAATCAATGAAAACAAGTAAATATAGCACTTAAGTCCAATTGAATTTATTCAGAAACTAATCGGCTGCAATTCAATTTGATAATGATTCAAAACCAAATTTATGTTATTTAGAATTATATAAAGCTTTAATATCTTTTTCATTTATTTGGCAAATTTTGATAAAAAATAATGTGTATTGAATACAATCAAATTTATTTTATTTCAATTATTTCATGTTAATTTATTTGTGCTAATGCATGGGGAGATATTTTATCTCAAACGAATTGATTACACATCCTCTGTTTTCAAAATCTAGATGGGTTTCTCTCAATTCAATTGTACATTAATTTTGTTATTTATATTCTTTTAGAATGCTCTTATTTACAGAATATTTTCCATTACCACATGAATAACTTTCGTTTCCAAAGGAGGCTTTCAGAATTTTTATCATTTTTTATCCGAGATTGTTCGAATTCAATAAAAAGCAATTATTTTTTTACGTAAACTCTTAAAAAAGAATGACACTAACAGACATAAACTTACTCAATGCAAGATAAAGGTTGTCTCTTTGAATAATTTTTGCTAAAATAAAAGTGACACTTAAAATTTCAAGTTATTTTTCTATAATATTTTTACATCCTAGCATGGTTAAACAAAAATTAGAGCATGATTGATTAAAAATATTTTCGCTTCAAAAATTTCAAATAAAATATCTATTAAATTTTATATTGGGCATTCAAAAACATCATAAAGATGTTTTTGTTGGTTATCGCAATGAAATATGCAGCACATACATGCATACATGAGGAGCTGCAATCAAAAAAGGAGCCTGATGAAGCTGAAGTTGATCTTGAAAGCGATTTCAAGGAAATCAGA